TATTTATAGACATATTGGCACTTGGCACATGCAATGCCTATGATAATAACATTGCATTGCTTGGAATGCCCGTATTTCTGTTTGTAGCTATATTCATGCAGCGTGACTACTGCTGTCGCCCCAATGCTATTAACGTCGTCAGTGGCATTCACGAGCCATAAAACATTTCACCTGCACTGGTGTCAGTGACGGCAATGCAAATGTGGTAATGAATTATTAACCAATCGAGTAAGATTATGCCATTGTCAAATTATCTAAGCCAACACAGAAAATATGATATTTATCAAATCCACACATGGCTGCTTTTACATCATGAACGCAATATAATATAATACCGATATATTATGATTGACCTTTGACATACACTTATTAATGTATTTCCTTTATCCACAATAGTTTTGCGTACGCACTCTATTATGTAGCAGTCCATGTTTTTCACGTGTATATTATCATGTATTTTTTCATTTTGTTCTAATTGTCATGCTTTCCAGCCCATATAATATTTAATTTTTATTTATTATGCAAAAAAAAAAGCTAATTGCTTCAATTCAGGTTAATCAAGTATTATGTCTGTCTGTATGCCTGTATGTCTTTGTAACCACCTCTCTCTTCACCTCAACTTTCCCTTTGTTTCCATGTGTGCTCCTCTCACATCTCTCCCACACCTCTTTGTTTTCCACCCGCCAAATTCTTGCCCATGTTGTTTCCCTCCCTCTTCTCCTATTTATTTCTGTTTTCGTCCCACACATTTTCTCAACTTGCTACGCTACTTTCAATGTCCCCTCAATTCAACCCCTCACCATCTACCCGCTCGTCTTCCCTACCTCCTTTCTTTCTTCCCTTCCCCTAACAGTCATTTAATTGAAAGTTTGTTGATGTTACATTTACATTACATTACATTTATTAATGTCTGTGTGGTCACTTTCCTTACAGGAAATACACTAAACATACATTCGTTCTGTAATATGAATCCTTAAAAAAACTTAAATCTCTAAAATCGCACGAAACGGTTTCTTTATGACTTCAACCAGTTAATTTTTAAACACGCATTTTAAAATTATATAAACCAGCCGTTGAAATTAAATAACTTTGCGTGTGAACTGAATATGTCAGTATTGACGGCCCATATTTTTTTTAATTTGTGTTAGAAGCTATTTTACAGTTTCATGCGGGTCGGCACGAGTATAATAAATATGATATTGTGATCTGTCATTTGAGATTGAGACGATGTATTCATGTATCCAATAAATATCGTTTAAGTTACTGCGCCATCAGTAGGCTTTCATTCAAATATGGTAGGGGGTTCTATCTCGCGCAATTTGTTCGCTGATTTCCATGTTTCACGTCTTTATAATGGGCTATCGATTACCTGGTGCAATCTACTCTCTATACAGACTTTAAAATTAAATAACTTTGCGTGTCAACTGTATCTGTCAGTATTGACGGCCGATATTTTAAAAAAATCGTTTCAGGTACAATTTTACAGTTGCATGCGGGTCGGCACGAGTATAATAACCATGATATTGTGATCTGTCATTTGAGATTGAGACGGTGTATTCATGTATCCAATAAATATTTTTTAAGTTACTGTGCCATCAGTCGGATTCCATTCGAAAATGGGGGGTTCGCTGATTTCTAAGTTTCATGTAAATATAATGAGCTATCGATTACCTGGTGCAATCTACCCTCTATGCAGAAGTTTTTATACCTGAGCGCACAAGTTTCTAAGGTAATGTCATAACTCAAAACCTGTCATTTTGATGTATTTTTAACGATTGCCTTCAGTTAGTCTATAGGTAACAATTAACAAACAATCAGATCATTTTTCATGAACTAGAAATACAAGTTTGAGAGTAGCTTTGAATCTTCAATTCAATATAACTGAGAAACGTTGACATGAATGTATTGAATACCATCAATAGAATTACCCAATACCACAAATGTAGAAAACTGCTAATGTAAACGCCTGTCGATTCTTGCTCTTGTTTTTGAAACAAACAATGTCTGTAAGGATCATAAATATCTTCATGACATGTTCGTCGATTATCGCATGATCTATGTCTTGACATGGACAAATGGATAAACTGAACTAAATGTGTAAACACGACTTTAAAACAAAAATGTACCTGAACAACGAAAACAACTAGAATTATTTAGATGTCACAACATTTTCAGGAAATAGAGTGTTATTCTTTTAAACAATGACATCTAATTTTCAAACTAGATACTAAGGTCAATAGTTGTGTTACATGGTATGGAGACAACGAACAATGTTACTATAGTTTAATCGGCCGTGGAAATTAATCAATGTAACTGACAATAGTATTCTGACCATCTAATTGGTAGTATAATGTGATAGCGTGCGTATTTATTAATTGGTTAAAATTAAGGGTACCAAGCGTAATAATACTAAATTCATTATATTCAAAAAAAAACACGATTAAGTGTTAAATGCTATTTTGGTCAATACATCTGGGTTTGTTTTACAACAATATATACAGCAGCACAACTGAGTGAGAGTATTTGCTCCTGCATCAGACATCATGAATACTCTCTACTTCGTTATCTGTGTGGCGGTAGTCGCTGATCTCAGTACGGTAAGTTATCACATTAAGAAAAAAAATATCATAAGCGTAACTTAAAGCTTTTTTATTTGAGTTAATTTTATTTTTACCAAATCGTCAATTTAATAGTTATTTTGTTCGAATAAATATTAGTCAACTAACACATTACAATCAAGCTGTTGACAATATATGCAATGCCGAGCGTAACTAATTTTACAAAAATAGCATGAACGCATTATAGTCCGTAACTGATACAACTGAGATCTGAATTCAATATACCGTATTCACTACAATATGTTTATATTTCTTTTTTCAAATAGTTTTCTACCGCACAAGGTAAGCAGATCTCTCGAAATTTATATTTTTGATATATTGCAGATAACTTGAAGTAATCAATAGTTAAACAATTATGTTTATAGCTATCATGTTTTTGTTTTAGAAATATGTTACAGCTACGTAAATATCATGCATATTTTAGTACTATGAACAAGCGTGATAGGGTGCTTTTGTGTGACCGTTGCCATCATCGCATGTTGTTCCTTTGCAATCATAAGAAATCATAGTGAGTTGACATTTCTCAGTATGCTTTATCACCGTTTCTGACTCGTGGCTCGAAAACTGAACCCCATTTGGCGGCATATTCTATAGCTTCCAGGTAGAAGTAAAACATTGTAATTGAATAATTTGTTAATGTCGGCTTCTAGTTAATTCTTGAAACACATAACTATAACAATAATGAATTCTAACAATTATGGAAAATTGGTAATTGTGTGTAGCGCTGTACATGTATTACAAATATCAGACAGAACCTACAAATGAGAAAGAAACTGCTTTTACATACTAGGATTGAAAATAATAGTAAAAATCATTTTTGGTGATGTACAACCTTGGACGTATTACATGTAAACAAACAAGTCAATAAATAGATAACTGAACGACATGTACAATCATTCAAAAATAATTGTCTGTGAAACAAGTTAGGTATTTATTTGTATAATTATAGTATGTGATAGACTGTGTGTTACAAGAACTGGATTAAAGTCTGGTACGGATGAGGATTCTATATCCGAAGTTACGTGTGAAGACGGTAAATTTCTAACAGGATGCTCTAGCTACTCAGAAGACAGTAGTGAGCGAGCTGGCGAACAAATTAAAAAAGCTAGTAATGGTAAATTGGGCTGTATTGCCACAAATGGTGAAAATGGATTAGGTATGCTTACGAATGCCATTGTGTATTATACGTAAATGCAAAGTGCTTAAATGTATACACGCATACACGACTCTTTATTGGATTAATATAAATAAATGTGCAGTATGATACAATATAATAATGTTAAATATTATTTTGCACTTTCTAAAATTATTTCTTCGACAAGTTCAGAATGAATGTCAATTATCACTGCTATATTTGCCTACTGCTTTATTCTAGATTCAAAAACTAAAACTGTCACCTATTCAATATGCACTGCAGACCACGTGATGCGGTGAATTCATGCTTTACTTTAATTTATTTTAATCACCTACTTTGATGTTCAATTTTTTCATTGCTCTGACCACGTTTTGATAGCTTAATTTATTATTCTATATGTGTATTATTTTTATTTACACCATGGTTGCTGTACTTATATATCCCTTGAAACTGTTCGAAACAAATTATAGTTATCTTCCTTGTTTTCATTAATAGGGTTTTAATCTTTCATTGTTTTTTTCATAATTTTGTATTACTTTTCAGGGCTAGTATGTACTTTAGTCTACTCAATATAAAATAATGACTTGAGTACCAAGGTTTGTTTTTTTCATTCGAAATTCCATGTCAACGTGTCAGAATATACTGTTTTTGGTTTTCTTGTAATATTGTAGAGATTATATGTATATTTTGTTTGTAAAATATGTTTAATATTACGATATTTGTATTCAAGGTACACGTGCCTATGCTCGTTGCTGCAAATGGCCCCATATGAGTTGCAAATATGTCAACGGCAACAAATCCTCAACCCCTGATGATGGCGGGAGTATGGCATTTTGTCCAGACAACATAAATTGCTTTGATACCTTTGTTACAGGTTTGTGCATTATTTTGTGTTTTTTTGGATATTCAATTTGTATTAAAGGCAAATACTGTATTTAAGTTCAGAGAGAAGTAATCTTTACTCGATGAAACTACAGCTACGATAATTTATGCATTTTATTTTATTTTAATATTGGGCGATAAACACACTATTATTGTGCTAAATGCATGTATCAAATTATTATTATCCTGATCAAATTACAGGTTGATTTTGAACATCACATCATTTTTTAAAGATGTGTAGCAATGGAATAAGATTTTGATCAGGATAAAATGGATAAGATTTAACAGAACTAAATAAAACGCATAAACAACGTTAAGTGACCCCCCTCAGTACTGAAATCATTTCAATACCGACCATTGTGTTGTTCATTATTTTAATGTTGGCCACACGGTTAATTTAGTGTATATTTATTCCAAATAGGTTGTTCACTCAGGTCCCCGTGGAAAGGTCTGACTGGAGCAAAGCCTATGATGCCTAACTACTGTCTTGGTTATAATGAAAATGTGAATAAAGGTAAGGTTGTTCCTTGTTTCTGGCCATTTATTGTTTCTTTAAAAGAAAATCCCTCGAATACGTGTTTGCAGGAGTTAAAGATAATCTTGTTTCATCAGTTTTTATTTATGCCGTTAATCGTGCATTTGTCTGCCCTACGCCCAAGCGATATCTTAATGTGTGCATTTCCCATCTCTTTTCATATGTTGATAATAGCAAAGATATTTGTTTGGATATATGAGCGACGGTTCGATTCACGCATGCAACACATTTATCATTGTTATTACCCTGCCATGTATTCGGTAAAACTTGAGACCAGCGTTGCTCAAATCAAAATATGTTTGTTTGGATGTTCATTTAAGCAAGACCAGATTTGTAAAAAAAATGATTATGTGTCGTGCAATATATTCTTTGTAATACGTGTTTTGTTTGTAGGTCTCTGGGTTAGTTCTGCGTGTTGTTCCGCTTCCAACTTCAACTGTAATACGAAATCTGTCCAGACTGGAACTGTTGAGGGTGATAAAGCAATAGTAGGATGTGACGATGGTTGGATACTAACCGGTTGTTCTGTGCGAAACCCAAACCATCCTACACGCGGAGCCTACATTGATGGTGCGTCGCACGTGATTTCATTATTTTATTATGTGGGTGGGTTTTGGTGGTGATGATGGGATCGTCTTTCATTTCATCAACTGAATATTATGTAATCATTTAACTATTAGATTTAATTGATGATTGTCACCAAATTATACTGCCTGCATGTAACATGACCTTGCTGAGCATAATAACATTACAGTGCATACTTAATGTATGTATGCTTTTGTTTGTTGATTGACTGATTGATTTGTTTGTTTGTTATTTTTTTGTTTCAGATGATGACAACTGTGTGGCCGTTAATGGAGCAGATGGAAAAGCAATTTGGGCCATAGCCGTATGCTGTAAAGACACGTATTAGAAGCATATTACAACGATGAAATATTAAATGTATTTGGTTTGTTGATGTAACGGGTTTACAATGGTGGTGGGAACTCAAAATATAATGTTAACAACTTGCATAGTTTCAATTGTTTTATTTATTGTATGTATTGTATGCATGTGGATATTACCGATTAGAGCAAATCATATTGAATACTTGGGAAAACTAAACAATGTGATATATATTAAGTACGCAAATAAAATAAATAAATAAATTAATAAATAAATAAATAAATAAATAAATAAAATATAAATAAATAAATAAATAAATGAATGAATGAATGAATGAATGAATGAATGAACGAACGAACGAATGAATGAATAAATAAATAAATAAATAAAATATGTTAGAATATTAAATGAATTAGATCAGTAAAACAAAGGAACAACAATGAATCAACGATATAAATAAAGGTGATGACTGTTTTCAAATAGCACAACGCGTGAAGTACAAAATGCGATATGAAATTCTGCCTTGTGTCACGACTTGTTTACCACTTCCGTGTGACGGAGAATGTTCTAGAACCGTACTGTGTCTGGGTGGAATTTTTAGAAACTGGTTGAATAGGTAATATAACACTGTAGGAGGCAATAGAAGGTAATGGAACATTCTAGAAATTTGTAGTAAGTTCCAGACTCATTATGTATGCTGATGTAATGGTCTATTTATAGACAGTGTGGGTATATATAGGGGAGTTGTTCAGCACTGAGATCAGATCGGAGATCTCGTTGAATTGTATTGGAGTTTAAGTATCTAGTTATTGGAGTAGTGGAGTTTTACCGCGTAATTGTACTTGATGTTTGCAGAGTATAATAATACCAGTACCAGTTGAAACCTCATCTGTTGGCTCCGTGTTCGTATTTTATCATCGCCGCCAGGGAAGTCTTTCTGTTACTGTTGCCATTTTGGTATTTGAACCATCACACCTGTACTATACCAATTACGGTAATATTACGTTGCGTGTGACACCTTGGTTTAATGTTTCAACACAATTGCGATTTGCAGTGTACACCCAAACTATATAAACTCTACACACCTTTCCACGATACAATTTCACCGTACTATGGGTTGCAACATGTTGTTAAATATTTATTGCAATTAATTAAGAAAAATGCAATGCACACTTCAAGTACACATTACATGTTAGCGGTTCTGTGGAAAATTTAAAAGCATTGAATGCAATTTGTGGTTAAAATTAATTATTATTAATTCAGGTCAACAATGTGAAATTGATCAGGTAGCTGTTACAGATTCAAGCTATTAAATGTTACTGCCCTACATTGCCCATGTACATGATTAATAATGCAGATGAAACACATGACAGTGACTTTGCAGTAGTTGGAGGACATGAAATGTTTACCAGTTAGAGTACACTTTTACCGTTTTAATATTTGATTGCATTGTTCTTTTAACCTTCAGTATGCAAAGGTCAAATGCAATAAAGTTTGAGAATCCTTCAATGATTGGTGGCAATGTAAATCCGGGTCCCTCTGATGCTTTCCAAATGCTTATTTTTTTCTAAAATGTTATCGCCTTGTGATGTGTTTTTTCACACCAGCCATATCCTAGAAAACATTCATTGCAATTGTGTTGGTCCATTTTTACAGATTTGTTATATCATTTGTCATTCTCTAGATACAATTCATGTCTTATTTTTACTTCCAGTTCCGAACCTCCGTTATCAAAGTAGTTGAGGTCGAAAGATCCATCACTATATTTACTGAATGAGCAAGTCCCCCGTACCAAATTCACTAAGAAGGCGTCACCTCGAACTAGGGCAGTAACAAATTTCACAATTTTACCAATCCTATAAAAAAATTAGCGGGTCAAAGTTCAACTTCTCACAGTCAGCGATTTTAAAATTAACGACCAATCATTTGAGTTTTTAAATCTCGCCTCACTAATTAAAATCTTATCTTTATTAACACACCAAAACTAAAAAGCACTAGATTTACAATAGCTTCGACAAAATGTGGTACATACATTGCGATCTTGAAAAAAATAATTAAAAAGTGATATTAATTTTCTATTTGGTGTCATATAACTCACAAAGCCGTTTTACTCGTTCGAAAGAATCTCATTCTGTTTCAAACAGTGAAAGAAGCATTTTAAACGTGGTAGTGCTTGGATAGACGTGTTTTGTGTAAAATCCATATTTTTCTTGCTCATTTTCTTCTTGTATCTAATTGCATTCCAGATGTACATTTAAAATTTTGACTTTTTTTGTTTTTTTTACAAATACACCAATATTAATCACTTCTTGAACATCCCATACTCCTTTCATGTTACATACAAATAGCAGACGTTGATCTGGCAGAGATAAACTCTCTCACCCTCCTTGAAGAAAAAAGAAAGTACCAAACAGAGCGCACTTTGTTTGAAATCTGACATCGTGGTGTTTTCCAGGTATTTGATTTACAAAAAAGGGCTTTATGTATGTAACAAGTAAGCATTAATTGTATCGCGAATTTCAGCACAAAACACTGCTCTCCATGTAATACGCTATATTCTGTCTGGTCATTTGGACGAGCCGGTGAGTTCAGTAAATGAATGAGGTCATATGCATGTGGGTTGTTAAATCTAAGTTGATGCATTACCCATGTGTAAGTATTGTATTTATTACATGTGTTTACTATTGGCGTATGCAAAGTTATAAGTGAGGTGGTAGAACTCAAATGAAAAATAAGATGGATTCAAAGAGCGGATTATATCACCTATGTGACGCCTGTTTATCTGTGAACCGAAACTTTCAAAATTACTAGTCATCCAGTTTTGATCACACAGTACAGGTAGCACTAATATCTTTGTATTTTCAAGTTGAGTGAGAGGATAGATTTATAACTTCGGAAGTATGTTTACCTACGTTCGCCTACATATATCACAAATCACTCATATCGCGTGTAAAATTCTAGGAAACGCTTTGCATATTCTCAATATGTATTATTACTGACAAAAAACATTAGAGAAGTTACTGTATGTTATGTATTGTTAACTTATTAAGATGTTTTAGGTGATGCTACTAATATAAAAAATAAACATATTTTCTTTTGTGATTTATATTTGTGTGTCACAAAAAGCAACATGAATAACACGTCAAACAGGATAATGTAATACACATTGCTAGGACAGGGAAATAACACAGTCAGTCAGATCAATGTGTGCATTTAGTGAGCATTTTAAGCGAGATTCATTTATTTTCCTATCTTTGTTTGGTAAATTAAAATACTTAATTTAGCTAAACCAGGGTCCAATGACTCGTAATATTTGTTTATTGTTTTATTAAGAATGCAGGATTCTATCATATTGTCAAACTGGAATGGGACTTGTAATGACGAATTACACTTGGCTTACACAATCACATGGTTTCTGTACTTTTGAAACTAGCCTCATTGAACATTTGTATTGTTGCTGTGATCAGAAACACCATCGTTCAATTGCCTCAGCCTGATATAGCAGTACCATAGTTGTGGTTTGTCTTGTTTATCACCAACACGCCAGTATAAACAGAATAAATCTGTATGGCATGATTGCCTATACACCGAGTGATAACAAACAAATCTGAGGTGATGGGGGCAGGCTAGACTGGCGCAGTCGGGGCGATTAATTTGTTTTTGTAGTTTAAATAACATAACAAAAATACGCGAAATGGAGGTGTTAGCGCAAAATCACCCCGACTGGTTTATTCTGCATGAAAATTCATTGCTATTAAATATTCATGAATGCACGTATTATACTGAGGTGGGCGCGAAAATACGTGAATAATGAGGTCAACAAGCTAAAGGTCACACTACAAACCCAACATTGCAGCACGTTGAAATTCCAGTTTGTCGTAGTCGTCGTTTGAAATTCATCACAATGTGTAAAAAAGTAACTCGTACTAGTCGTAGAATTAAAAAAAATGGCTGCTGCAATCATCCGACGTCTTCTCGGTCAGAAGTCAGTTAAAGAGACGTTGTGATTGGCTTAGATGATTGTCATATAGAAAACTCATTAACATGATTACTCGTTAAAAATCGACGGGTTTCTGCAGTGTCGATAGAGGACCATGCAGAATAAACCAGTCGGGGTGATTTCGCAGTTACAGGGGATTTCGCGCTAACATCTCCATTTCGCGAAATTTGTTATTTTATTTAAACTACAAAACTAATAATCGCACCGACTGCTCCAGTCGAGGAGCAGGCCATTAACCAATCATATATGCTGGCTGGCCCGTTATATGTAATGGAACTAACATGGCGCAAAATGAAGCAAAGGGTCGTATGTATATGTACCTCAAAACATTAAATCGCAAAATGAGGTTCGACGTTTTTAAATACCTCAGACGTTGCTTTTTCATTCACTTATTTTTGTGAAAACGACACTTGTATATGTTATTCTTTGGCTATACATTTATTGTTTTGATATTTTACTCATACACAACAAACTCACATGCTATTGGATACACACATCATTTGTATTACATTGTTTTCCCCTCACCTATTATTATTTACTAACATACACACATACATGCTAGTTTCTTTTTCTTATTTTAGGCGATCTAATACGTGTCTTTACAACATACGGCTATAGCCCAAATTGCTTTGCCATCTGCTCCATTAACAGCCACGCAGTTGTCATCATCTGAAAACAGAATACAATAACTATTGTTATGTTGAATTTAGTAAATATTAAATATAGTTGCATTACTGCCGCATTTAATTAACTGTTCCCCCTGATTGATTAATTAATTAAAAGTTCTAAGAAATACATTGACCCCTTCTCCCATGATTCAATCAACATTGTGATGCATTTGTAGTGACACGAGGTACGCACCATCAATATATGCCCCAAGTGTGGTATGCCTCGGGTTTCGAACACTGCACCCAGTGAGAATCCAATCCGGACCACACCCAATAGTAGCTTTGTCTCCCTTTGCACTACCAGACAGGGCAGACTTGGTATTACAATTGAGGCTCGGGGCGGAACAACACACTGCGGCTGCCCATAGACCTGTAAATAAATCGCATGGGTTTTTAAGACGTTGCTGCTGGTTGTGAGTCAAGTGGCCAGACGTTGTATTTTTATTTAGGTTCTCTTTTTTATATCAAACGTGATTTATTTACATCGTGAATAAAATGTGAAATTCTTTCGTTTTTATGCAGAAAATTACTGTATTTTCACCAAGTAAAACCATACGTGATTTGATTAACACACTACATATCTAGTAATTTCATTCAGCTTCTTTCAATCATAATTAAAGACAAATGAAGGCATAAATATAGAGAATATATCAAATTATCTTTTCTCTGTCATATTTGTGTGTAATCCGTAATTATTTCTGGGTGCATAGGGAATATTTTTTGTTATGAATTATTCTTAATATAAATTTCTGGATTATATTGTCAAAATCAGTTATTTAGGGCCCTGTTTTCTCCAAAAAACGGAAGAATTTTACGATGTCGAAAACGGAAAGTCTTTATTGTAGTGTTAGTAAAAACTAGCAATAAATATAAAGTTTTTGTTCTTGAGTTGTTTTATTATAGACATAGAACGACTACATAAGCAAACACAGTCGTGTATTAAAACGACATGGCTACACTCATCTGCGTCATTTCGTAGTGTTTCGCCGCCGGAGGGTGTGTACGTTGTGAGCGTCTCTTATGGGTTAGGTCAAGCTCCAAATCAAAAGCCAATGTCAATAGAGTAGCTAGGGCGTTAAAATGGATTGAGTACTGGCAAATTTGCATAGCTATGCTTCTAACGCATGATTTGTGGTTTATTTAGTGTATTTTCTTGGACTGAACACCTAAAATTACAAGCAATAACGTAAATAATCCATCGTGTTTTCACGTTTTCCTCGTGAAGGCGTGTCGGCTGTTCCCAACTGAATATTTGGTGCTGTACTTGTACTTAACTAAGGAGCACAGCGCTAAACACATACACAAGTGTATTGGCTTAAAATAAGTCTAGATTGACATCGTGTTATAATGCAAAAAAAATATGAAATATTATTAAACATTTGTCACCGTAACGTCATAGGCTACAGCGTGCCGTAATTTTGTGGTATTTTACGAGGTATTTTCATCCTAAGGGTCCTCTAATGATAAAAACAAACATGGCTACCACCAGAGTTTGACCGGACTCCACACAAAAAAGTTCGCTGATTCTGTTATAAACATTTTGGATTTCATCATTCCCTAGGTGTATTCTTCGATCGGAAAGATGTATAATAATAAGGTTATTACGAGGATTCTCAACGTATGCACTCTGCGCGTCGGTCGATAATCCAGCTGTACTGTCTTCGTGCATAATTTGAGGTATCCTCGTGATAACCTAATATTATCATGTGATAATGGTTTGGTTTCTGTAGTGATTAACACGTTTTTGTCAACATGATGCTAAGTAGCCCATTCAGTTCAGCAATATCCTTGAATACTGCAATATCTACTTAAGGTAGAGATGCACTTTATTTGTGAATTTCAATCAAAAATAGTTTTTTTCGTTTTTTATATAGATTTTTATCTAAAGAACATTCTGTGAAAATTTGACCAATGAATTCTTATTGGAACACCGTTAAAATTGCTGTTTATTTTCTGGTTAAAAATAAAAAACACTCACACGTGGCAATGTTTATGTCCAATTGCCTAATTTGCATGAGTAACCAAATAACAAGACCTTTGATTGACAATATGCAAATCGAGATTGTACGGGTCATAGTTCATTCAATTCACGCGCATGTGCAATTATTCTCAAATCAGTTCTCGCTCGCTAGCAAACCAAACATTATATTTCCTCAGCGTTTTTTCTTAATTTTTATCATTACATTATGCGTGGTGTGAAAAGAAAGAGAGGTAGAAAGAAGATTCAGATGATTTCTATGTCGGAAGATGCAAAAGCTACACCGAAGG